TGCACATTGAATTATACACACGCTGTACACGAAATTTTGTGAATATATACAAAGTTTATTTTTTTGTGTTTACAGCTATACTTCTAATCTTATTCTGGAACAAGTTGGAAATTTTATGGGAACATTTATAAAGGTTGATGATAGGTTCGCGGATGCACCATGGAAGACATTCTACCGAATTGAGGTTTCAATATATGTCTTGAAACCGCTAAAACGGCGCATGAAGCTTATGAAAAGGGATAAATCGACTTGTTGGGTTAATTTCAGGTACGAAAGATTGCACAATTTTTGTTACTTCTATGGTATGATGGGGCATTTGCACAAATATTGTTTGAAGGCACGAGATGCGGGCATACAGGTAGATCAATATCCATATGGTGAAATTTTACGTGCTGGATTGAGAAAGGGTCCACGCAAGGTGGGAGCTTCATCGCTCCTTGACAAAAAGGTAACCCCATGGTGGAATCCCCCTCGGACCTTGGGCCTAGAATGCGAATTGATGAGCAAAGCCGTGGGGAGGCTGCAACTACGGTTGACCGTGGGGAGGATGTTGCAGTCACGGCAGCAACTACAAGAAGAAGAGGTGAATTGAATATAGGTACTGGGGGTAATGCAAATGTTGGCAGTGATATTGTTATGACAGAAATCCAAAAAAACTTGTCTGTGGCGGGTTCTGGTTCCCAGACCCGCCCATCATTATGAGTACTATCAGTTGGAACTGTCGTGGCTTGGGCAATCCACGAACAGTTTGAGAGTTAACGGACCTTACGTCGCGTAAGAAACCTGATTTTATTTTTCTCATGGAAACCAATGTGGGGAAAATACATGCTGAACGAATTCGCATCAGCCTTGGCTTTGATGGTATTTTTTATGTTGATCAGACTCGGTTGGGTGGTGGTCTAGCGCTGCTTTGGTGAAAAAACAATACGGCAAGTCTATTGAGCTACTCAAAAAATCATATTGATATTGAAGTAAGTGTGTCCAGCTTTCCAAAGTGGCGAATGACGTGTTATTATGGCTATTCTCAGCGCCATAGGCGGTTAGAAGCATGGGATTTATTAAAATCTTTTGCACCTCGTTCCACTCTTCCATGGGTTATGATTGGGGATTTTAACGATCTTCTGTTTCAGTACGAGAAGAGAGGAGGTAACCCACATCCTAATAATCTCCTACGCGGCTTTGGGGAAACTATTGAACAGTGTGGCTTGGCTCAGTTGCCTATGGAGGGCTATCAGTTTACTTGGGAGAAGGGGAAAGGTACGCCTGCATGCATTGAAGAGAAATTGGACAAAGTACTTGCCTCTAATGTTTGGCGCGAAATTGTGCAAGGGGCCAGAGTTACTAATAATCTGATGAGGAAATCAGATCATTCTGTGCTTTTTTTTGAGTATCTATGAGATGTTTCAGAATGGGGGAGGAGGAAGGAGAGGTTTTCGTTTCGAAATGGCTTGGGTGTATGATGAAGGGTGCATCGGTGTGGTGAAGAGATCATGGGAGGAAGGGAGGAAGGGAGGAATGAGGGGGTCCAAGACTGCATAGCATACTGTGGGAGTCAATTATCCCGATGGGGTGGTGACCGGTATCATAAATTCGGTGAAAAGATTATGCTCCTGCGTAAGGAACAATTACATATTAGGGGACGTACTGATCCAGCATCCTTAGCTGAATTTCTGCTGTTGGAAGGAATTCTAAGCAATATGGAAATTCAAGAAATACTTACTGGAGACAGAGGGCCAAACAACACTGGCTCAAGAATGTAGATGCCAATACGAAATTCTACCACAGGTATGCCTCTCACCGTAAAAAGAAAAATACTATTTATAAGCTTATGAATGATAATGGGGATTGGATGGAAGGAAATGCTATGAATGCGATTATCTTGGAATATTTTAGCCATATCTTCTCCTCTAGTGACCCTATAGATGGAAGTAATTTATTTGCTGAGGTATCCCCACGTGTTACCCAGGCTCAGAATGAAGTAACTGAGGTTAAGGATGCCCTTTTTGCAATGGCCACAGAGAAAACACCTGGCCCGGATGGTATGAACCCAGGTTTCTACCAGCATTTATGGGATATAGTTGGTGATGATATTTCAACATTTATACTGAATTGTCTTAATAATCGGATATTCCCCTCTGAGCTAAATAATACGGATGTTGTGCTCATCCCGAAGAAGAAAACCCCTGAGGTGGTAGCAGATTTTCGGCCAATAGCTTTGAGCAATGTGATCTACAGAATAATGACCAAGATGATTACACAGAGAATGAAGCCTTTAATGGAATGTATAATATCTGGCTTACAAAGGGCATTTACTCCAGACAGACTAATTACTGATAATATCCTCATAGCAGCAGAAGTGGGGCATTATTTGAATAGAAAGCAGTGTGGGACTGTAGGGTGGGGAGCTCTCAAACTGGATATGGCCAAAGCCTATGACCGTATGGAATGGCCTTTTCCTCCGTGGGATGCTACTGGCCCTGGGTTTTGATGACAGGTGGATTGAATTGATTATGTTGTGTGTGACTACTGTGTCATATACTTTTATGATAAATGGATCCCGAAGTACCTCGATTACACCCACTCGTGGCCTCCGACGGGGAGATCCGTTATCCCCTTATCTGTTCATTATCTGTGCAGAAGGACTTTCAGTTTTATTACAACGGGCGCAGGATAGGGGATTAATACATGGTTGCAGGGTTGCTAGAGGGGCACCTCCTATCTCTCATTTATTTTTTGCAGATGATAGCCTACTGTTTTTCAAAGCAAATATGCAGGAAACATCTGAGATAAAGAATTGTTTGTTACTATATGAGAGTTTATCTGGTCAGAAAGTTAATTATCATAAATCCAGTATATGCTACAGTAGGAATACAAGGCAGTATGATAAGGATATGGTGGCACAAATCCTAGGAGTTACCCAGGCTCCCAATTTTGGGAAATACCTAGGTCTGCCCTCCTCTGTGGGAAGAAATAAGAAAGCTGCATTTGCATATATTGAGGATAAGATCAAACAGAGGATTGGTTCTTAGAACAAGAGATTATTATCACAAGCTGGTAAAGAAATTTTGTTGAAAAGTGTGGCTCAAGCAATGCCGACCTTTTCAATGAGTGTTTTTTTGCTACCCATATCTGTTTGTACAGCTATTGAGCGAGTTATAAACCGATACTGGTGGGGATCAGGTACTGACCGGGGCATTCACTGGAAAGCTTGGGATAAGTTATGTATCCCAAAAAAGCATGGTGGCCTGGGATTCAAAGATTTAAGAGCTTTCAATTTGGCAATGTTAGGAAAGCAGGCATGGAGATACTCACTAACACTGACTCATTGGTAGCTAGGGTTTATAAGGCCATATATTATCTTAAAGGTACTTTCTTGGAGGCAAATATAGGAAATAATCCAAGCTTTTGCTGGCGTAGTATTATGGCGGCTAAAGATTTAATATGCGGTGGTATAAGGAAACCAATTGGGGACGGGAAATCTACCTTAATATGGGACCATCACTGGCTGCAAGATGAGCTGGATCCTATGGTTCACACGGAAATGCCACAACATCTATCTGGAGCCAAAGTGGTGGGATTAATGGACCAGGTTACGGGTGCTTGGGATCCGCATATACTAGCTGATATTTTTCAACCAAGTGATATACCTAGAATCCAAAGGATACCAGTTGCCACTGAGTATGATGATATATGGTATTGGTATGAAGATCCTAATGGATGTTATTCGGTCAAGAGTGGGTACAGACGTATAGTTGGTAATTATGTGAATAATTCTAATGGAGTGTTTGATGATTGGCTGGCACCCAAATGGAAGACATTCGTATGGAGAGCTATTTGTGATATCTTGCCTACTACCAACAATTTGCTTATAAAGAGAGTGGATGTTAATCCGATGTGTGCCATGTGTGGGATGATGAATGAAGATACCATGCATGCATTACTTTTGTGTGACTATGCAAACTCCATATGGACTCAATCCAACCTTCCACTCCCCAATATTATCACAAATGTTTTTCATGAATGGTTTAGTGCAATCTTAAATGTTCTAGACTTTAATGGAATTGTTTATGCAACTGCAATATTATATCATCTATGGAGAGCCCGAAACGGAGCGGTCTGGGATGCCTGTCTGCCAAGACCAACGAAATTACTTGTGATTGCAACTGCTACTGTGAAGGCTTGGGAAGCTGTCCATCACCGTACCCCATCATGGCAGGCTGCTCCGTCCTCCGAAGTTGCCGCATATGCCCTTACTGCCGGAATCATTCTGCCGACCGAAGCTACTGTCATGCAGGAAGCCGGGCGTCCACTCTCTCCACCACACAGCCATCCTGCTCTCCCACATGGCACGATGACAAGGCCAAAGAAATGTTACATAGATGCAGGCTACCATCACGGAACAAATGTGGTAACAGTTGGTGCAGTTCTTCTCGATGCCGAGGACCGGTATGTGTCGGCTTTCAGTGCCCCCCTGATAGGTTGCTTCTCCCCACTCATGGCCGAGGCATTTGCATGCAAGGAAGCCTTATCCTTGCTTAGAAGGCGGGATGAACAGGTTATACAAATTCATACGGACTGCCATTTGCTACAGAGTTATCTGACCACCTACCACATCACATTCATATCTAGCTTATGCTATTGATAGTTGCAGAACCTACATATCTACTTTTACTTTCTGCTCAGTTATTTTTATTCCTAGATTACAGAACTTATTAGCTAATTCCCTAGTTACTACAGCTTTTGATTTCGCTATGGCTATGTGCTGGGACAATGTCCCACCGAACTCTATTTCAGCTTATCTATAAATACAACCGCCAGGTTGACTTTAAAAAAAAAAAGTAACAAACATTTTATTCTTAATTAGTATTACATTTTTTATAATAAGTATTACATTTATATTGATTTTACACTTTTACCCCTGGATAAAGATCCATAGAACCGTCAAAGGACCTTTCATATATATATATATATATATATATATATATATATATATATATATATCATTGACTAAACAAGGTTTCAATTATCTCTGAGAAAACCTCAACAATGATACGGTGGAAGTAGGATGAGTTGAAAGAAAGAAAGCAGTGCAACAGCCTTTGCAGATCCTCTGCTCCAAAGATTTGCTTCGCCACAATCATCTCCACCATTGATGTCCTGAAGTCATTGTAAGGATCATTTGTACTCTTCTCTATCGCATCATAATATCCCATTTCCGAGCTCATCATCGTTGTCTTCCCTTTCCTTTGCCGGCTCGTCCTTTTTTTCCGGCCAGCCTTGGAGGTTTTCCTCCGGCGATCGCTCCACAAGTTGCTGCTGTAATAATAATCAAACTCCACTTGTAGATCACTCTCGCTTCTTCTGGGTGTTTTAGGGTGGGTAAAAGACCGGGAAGAAGTAGAAGATAAGCTAAAAAACGTGTCGTCGTCGGTTTCGCCTTCTTCTTCTTGTTCTTGTTCCACCTCCTCGCTGCTAAACCATCCGCCATTAGAGCTATTATTGGAGACCTCTAAATGCGAATCAACGACTGAGATAGGTGTCACAGGCGGACATCTTCTTCCTTCATTAATAGCAGCCGGAGAAAGCCCTAATAAGAAAGCAGCAGCTTTCTTATGCTTATTGGGATTTTTGGGAGGTGCAGTTTCATGGAGGTTTCGGGAGGTAGTAGTCATGGAGTTCTCTACTACATCTGAGATATTTTTGGCGTGACATGAACAGGAGGAGGAAGGGAGGAGGAAACGAGAGACTTTGTGTATGAACAGCCTTTCCATATAGCCAAGTTTTTGAAGATTACATGCAGGGTCGGCACTCGCAGAGCCGCAGTACTACTATTTATATACTGGCCGGTTAAGCTAATTAGAATAATGATGTGTATGAAAAGTAAGAAAATGACTTTTAAAAAATAATTTTTGAAAAATTGTTTGGTGTGTTTGGTTCATTTTTTTGAAAAATGAGCATAATTATTTTAAATTTTAAATATTTAAAATATACAATGATCGTGGTGGGTAGTGGGTGCTGGTGGGTGCTGGGTAGTGGTTTGGCGGTGGTGGTGGTGGCGGGTGATTAATTGCTCCACTGCTGCAAACGAAAAATAACTTCCAAAAAAAACGTCATTTTTCAAAAAATCTCATCTATTTTTCATTGGCTTTCATTTCCCCCCTTCTAGCCAAACACGGGATCGAAGATCCTGAAAATGACATTTTCTGGATTTCCAAATGCACCATAAGTAATGATGGAGTTTACATTTTTCTATTACATTTACCTAACAAACATTTTATATAAAATGGGTTGACCCACTATATATTTATTTTATTTAAAAAAAAATCATAATTCACAAATAGAATCTCGTCTTCTTCAATTGCAATCCTTGCTTCCACAGTAGCACCTCCACAACCTAAGTCTCCACAATAGTGGAATGACACATATAATTTTAGGACAAAAAATAATTAATACTTAAAACTGAATATACTGAAATGTCCATATATTTAACGCCTTTTAAACATGTTTGTTGACCGAGTATTAAAAATAATTATGCCACAATAATACTAGGACTAACATGAGATATTCTTAAACAAATAATTAAAATTTGTATTACAACAAATAAGATTTGATTTAAGAGAATATAGTGCATTCTTATAATAATTATAGTATGATATTCATAGTTTTGATGAAGATTAAAAAAAATTAATCACTTTTATATTATTATACACGTATAATTTTTATTCCCATTATAACCTTATCAACATTACCTCTTATTTTATATTTATATTAGTAGATATAATCTAAAATTTTGGAGCACATAGTCTTGGAACACTACAAATCTAACCTAGATACACTACACACACGGCAGAGAACATAAGTTGCGGGGGAGAATGCTCCACTCACGAAATGTCAATATGCTAATGTCTCTATTCCTTGGCATCTTAAACAAGGAAAAACTTCCAACAGCACACAACATTTTTGAGTTTGCATTTTCAAACTTCAATTAAACCCAAACAAAAACTACAAGACAAAGTAATTTGACCTAACATAGAATCATATAACTGACCTTTGCATGCATGTCAGCTCATTTTTCTCCCAAACAGTATTAAAACATTTTTAGTCTGAGATTTTTGAGTTTTGATAAATAGATTACATACAGGCCGGCCGAGTAAGGTGTCCTTTGCTAAATGGTGTTATTCTCCCGTTTGCATAAAATTTAAATTTGAAGCACAAATCCAGATAATTAATTCTCCTAATTTATCGACGCTCGAAATGTGAGTAGGTTCAGTGATGTCAAGTGGCGTCATTTGTTTCAATTTCTCTTTATTTCGTGCTTCTTTTCCCCCTAAATGTAAAGATTAAAAAGTAATATTTTTACCTTTAAAAATAAGTTTTTTTTTAAAATTTTTTTTTGTTTTTAACAAATTAGTGATTATTTGTAGGGAAGACAATGATTTGGTACTATAGCAACCGAACATAAACCGTAAGGACGGTTCCGATTAGCGATTAGGGTTCAAAATCGAAACCGTCAATTATGATTTTAAACGGTAAAATAAAATAAAATAATTGTTAAATTTGAACTATTTTAAATCAGATAGGTAAGAGGATCAAGACTGAATCTTATATCTTTGTCCACAATCTATTACCCATAAATCAAATGAACTGCTTGTGGGTAAATGGCATAAATACATATAGTATAACATTGCTGCCACATCACATTAGGATAGAGTATAACTATAATAGTATTATAATGTATTTTTGATCAATTTTTTTTTTTTTTTTTGAAAGCAAACCGCAAGCGATTTATTAACTTATGAATGAAGCAATAGAGTCAGAAGGGATCGAGTCCCAAAACATAGATTGTTCCTGATCGTAAGCTAACAAAGCTAATGTATGAGCATGTAAATTTAACGTCCTAGTAACAAAACTCAAAGAGCAATAAGCAAATAAAGACATAGTTACCCTACATTGGTCCACAACAACCCCAACGTAGGATAAAATCGGTGTAGCTTCGGAGTGTATTGCATTCTTTAGCACGAGGCAATCCGTTAGGAGATCTACGTCATCCTCGTTTCAATTCTTAAGCCAGTATAAGAATTCTTTGCAAGCCAACATAAGTGGTGAAAAACAGCCTGGGAGCATGCCGTTCGTCGCAGCCTTGAACGTGCCATCGTGTCCGAGCAATACCGCCTCGTATGTTGCCTCCCCGATGGTCGGCTTGTAGCCTGCATCCACATAGCATCTGGGCCGGACAGCTGTTGTCTCGTGAACCGTTACTGCCGGCGTGGTCTGAGGCGCTCGGGCGTGGACGGTGGTGTAGGCTTGTTCCGCCGCTGTCGCACTCATCCAAACCTGGCCAGGCCGCTTTAATGCTCCTTCGCATACAACCTCGTTCCTGGCGTTCCACAAATAATAGAGCACCGCGACCAGATGTCGGCATTGGATGTCTGTCAACATTACCATCGCACCCATAAGCCATGATGTAAACGAGTTAGTTACAATGTTTGTAATAAGCATGCCCGAATTACTCCACACAAATCTAGAGTAATAATACAAAACTAATGAGTGCATAACATTCTCATGTGTGAGACCACACATTGTGCATGTTGGATCCACATCAACTCTCTTCATAAGCAAATTGGTGGTGGTGGGGAGTATATCACACACGGCCCTCCACAAAAAAGTTTTCCACTTGTGAGGTACCTTCAATTTCCAGCATATAACCCATTTATCAAAATTCGCCGGGTTATGCTGGAACTCACCCATAATTCTTCTATAGGCATCTTTAACCGTATATAGCCCTCAGGGGTCACTGAGCCAATACCATGAATCCTCATAATTAGGATTGTTTGGTATTTCATAAATACGCTCCACGTCTTCAGGACTAAACATGTCAGCTAGAATATCGTGATCCCACATATTTGTTTGCTGATAAATTAGTCTTGCCACTACTGCTTCCCTCAACTCCTCAGGCATAATTGTTTGGACGAGAGGACTTGTAACACCCCAGATTTTTAAGATATTTAAAACTTATAAAATAAAGGTGAAATCTCATTAAAAACCCAAAACATAATACAAGAGTGCGGGGTGCTATGCCACACCTGAGCTAGAGAACTCAGGTGCACAGGCTAACTATCTAAAATCCTTAGCAATGTAAATGCATAAACATGGCACGCAGGCCGGAAGGGAAACTATCTACTTCTACGCTCCAAGTTCTAGCGCGCTCCAGTGACTTATGCTTCTGTGCCTGAAAGCCAAATATATCTGTTTAGCGAGAGATGCTGGTAACCCACTCCAACGAGTTGAAATACAATACATATAGAGATATATATAGATATACGAAAACCATTTTGAAGCATGAAGATATATCCTACGAGACTCTAGCTTTTAAAACCGGGAATGACTCGACAGATAAGGCTAGACACAAGCAACAGTTATAATCAAGCGTATACAATCCACAACAGGCAAGACAGATAAAGCTGATCACGGATAATAATCATAACCCAACATACACAATCCCTAGCATAAATCCCATAATCAAATCCCACAATATACTCATAAACACAACTCATCCATATCTCATCAAATAGCACACTTTGTTGGCGCCACAGGACCAATCGCATGCCCATACATGAGGGTCAGCGCATATAGCTCTGACACGGCCCCGCAGCACCCTGCCCCGTCTCACATTACGGAGGAGCCGATCGCAACCGGCTGATGGACCTTTGTCCTACATAATATTTATATACCTGACCGGTCTTTACCAGCCTGGTTAACAGTTGAGATGGTTCTCAGCCCATTCAACTGCCCGTATAGTGGACCTTTGTCCTATATAATATTTATATACCTGACCGGTCTCTACCAGCCTGGTTAACAGCCGGTATGGTTCTCAGCCCACCCGACTGCCCGTATAGTGGAACTTAGTCCTATATAATATTTATATACCTGACCGGTCTCTACCAGCCTGGTTAACAGCCGGTATGGTTCTCAGCCCACCCGACTGCCCGTATAGCCCGATTGATCTTAACCAACTCGGGGTTACATGCACACATAACACATAGCAAGTACATGCAACCCATATTGACACATTGGGAAGGGGGAGAAAACGTATAACAAAACCTATGCGTGATCCATCACATACTAAGAATAGTCCTAGGGGGTTCATACTGCTTCTACCTAGGTCAACGGGATACCAATTCAACTAGCATGCAATATAATAGACTCATAAACCTACGAACGGTACCCGAAATATCAAACTAGACAAAGGCACGATTAACGGAGTCCGTTGGGACACCACGGGGGACGGGGAAACATCAAACGGGGAAGCCGAGATCCTGAGGGGGATGATTTTCCAACGGGTAGCCGGTGGGTGGGGGGCCACCCGCCGGCTGCCCGCCGGGTATTACTGTTCCGGGCAGCGGGTCGCCGGCGGGCAGCTGCCCGCCCGCCGGCCGCCCGCTGCCGGAGATGTGTTTTCCGGCCGTGGGTAGGTGGCGGGTCCCCTACCCCCCACTACCCCCCACTGACTCTTATCACACACTTTCGCCCCGGGAACCATTGTGGAACCCGAAACCATGCTTAGACACTTTATAACTGTAACTAACGGCAACACGTAGACAATTAACGAATCAAATACAAGAAACGAACGGCACATAACCTATCATGCTTTTCTAAATATAATCAACACCCAAACATGCGATTTCCCCACCCGATAAACCAAGAATAAGATCATACGATACAACCTAGGGTTCTAATCACTTTTATATCAACAAGAATGCGGTTCGTCTTC